ATGACATTTATAACTTGCATCCCTTAAAAAAAAAGAAAAAACAACAGAACGGATGAGATAATTATGTAAGACAGTAGAGGATTATCATACCAAGAAAGCAGCAAGACTCCTTTGGGGTGAGTCCCAATCAAAGCAACTGTTAATGTAGTAGGCAGCATTGATGAGCACCATGACACAACGCTTCATGCGGATAAAGTTCCTCAGCAGTAACTGTGAGAGAGATGAAAAGATGAAAATATTATCAGAACAATTAAGTCTCAGAGTGACCTGGAAGGTTGACAGCTCCTTCTAGACAATCACGATTAAAAGATGTGTTTTAAAGCAGGAGTTGGAAAAGGTTCAACAGAGGGATCAGTTTAAATCAATAGCGAAAAATAACTAGGCTCAAATTACACATACAGCTCCCTGAAACAAACGTTAACATTGGGATGAACTGTTTATAGCATAAAATTGACAAAACTAAGCATGAAAAACATCATTATTTTGCTGCTGGAAGTGATCCTAGCTGATCACAGGAATATTATAGTCAGAAGTTACCAGGCAATCAGACGCAAAACACAGGCCATCTGACTGGAAAAATACTTTTAATTATAATTTAGTTAGAATAAAGACATAGAAAATGTGTCCTTTAGGTTTTAAATGTGAAGGTTAATATAGCAGGGTTATGAGAAGGTTAGCCATGGTGGTCACTATATCTCCTGACTTTTTTTAGGGCCAACTACACCTAAAATTAAATTTTTGTCTGGCCTCTTACAGGTGAAACTCGAAAAATTTGAATATCGTGCAAAAGTTCATTTATTTCAGTAATGCAACTTAAAAGGTGAAAATAATATATGAGATAGACTCATTACATGCAAAGCAAGATAGTTCAAGCCGTGATTTGTCATAATTGTGATGATTATGGCTTACAGCTCATAAAAACCCCAAATCCACAATCTCAGAAAATTAGAATATTACATGCAATCAATAAAACAAGGATTGTACATAGAACAATATCGGACCTCTGAAAAGTATAAGCATGCATATGTACTCAGTACTTGGTTTGGGCCCCTTTTGCAGCAATTACTGCTCAATGCGGCGTGGCATGGAAGCTATCAGCCTGTGGCAGTGCTGAGGTGTTATGGAAGACCAGGATGCTGCAATAGCGGCCTTCAGCTCTTCTGCATTGTTTGGTCTCATGTCTCTCATCTTTCTCTTGGCAATGCCCCATAGATTCTCTATGGGGTTCAGGTCAGGCGAGTTTGCTGGCCAATCTAGCACAGTAATCCCACGGTCATTGAACCAGATTTTGGTGCTTTTGGCAGTGTGGGCAGGTGCCAAGTCCTGCTGGAAAATGAAGTCAGCATCCCCATAAAGCTCGTCTGCTGAAGGACGCATGAAGTGCTCCAAAATCTCCTGGTAGACGACTGCGTTGACCCTGGACTTAATGAAGCACAGTGGACCAACACCAGCAGATGACATGGCTCCCCAAGTCAAGACAGACTGTGGAAACTTCACACTGATCTTCAAGCATCTTGCAGTGTGTTCCTCTCCATTCTTCCTCCATACTCTGGGTCCTTGGTTTCCAAATGAGATGCAAAAGTTGCTCTCATCAGAAAAGAGGACTTTGGACCACTGAGCAACAGACTATGTCTGTTTTTCTTTAGCCCAGGTAAGACGCTTCTGACATTATTTGTTGTTCAGGAATGGCTTGACAAGAGGAATACGACATTTGAAGCCCATGTCCAGAATCCGTCTGTATGTGGTGGCTCTTGATGCACTGACTCCAGCCTCAGTCCACTCCTTGTGAAAGTCCCCAACACTTTTGAATGGACTTTTCCTAACAATCCTCTCCAGGCTGCGGCCATCTCTGCTGCTTGTGCACCTTTTTCTTCCACACTTTTCCCTTCCACATAACTTTCTATTAATGTGCTTTGATACAGCACTTTGGGAACATCCAACTTCTTTTGCAATTACCTTTTGAGGCTTTCCCTCCTTATGGAGGGTGTCAATGATGGTTTTCTGCACAACTGGTCAACAGTCTTTCCCATGATTGTGATTCCTACTGAACCAGACTGAGAGACCATTTAAAGGCTCAGGAACCCTTTGCAGGTGTTATGGCTTAATTAGCTGATTAGAGTGGGACACTTTGAGCCTAGAATATTGCACCTTTTCACAATATTCTAATTTTCTGAGATTGTGGATTTGAGGTTTTCATGAGCTATAAGCCATAATCATCACAATTATGACAAATCATGGCTTGAACTATCTTGCTTTGCATGTAATGAGTCTATCTCATATATTAGTTTCACTTTTAAGTTGCATTACTGAAATAAATGAACTTTTGCACGATATTATAATTTTTTAGTTTCACCTGTATATCTTTCCTTAGTATGATCTAAAATTCCCGAATGGATTCCCTACAACACACAATAAACACATAACAGGAAGTTCAGCTGCAATTATATTATACTTGTGGGTTTTGGGAGCAGGTGGGGACAAAGTTGATTTTTAATCTCTTTATTACCTTTAAATATTTAGAAATTCTGGGGAAATACGAGAACAAATTTGAAAAGGAGTGTAAAACATCACCTACTAGCTAAAACGTAGAATGCAAAATATTAATATGCAATATTTTATGTTCACCACTGGCTAAAAAAAATTTTCTTACATCGAATTTTAGTTGTCCTCGTCCATTAAAGAAGTATATTTTGTACATAACTACTATGTATTTTCTTAAATAATTCCTAATCTTTCTACTTTTTTTTTTTGTTATCACAATGATCACATTTTTTGAAAAGTTACTTTTAAGCTGGCCATACATGGTTCGAATCTCGGTCGGCTCAGTAGGACCCGGCCAAAATTTGAACTATGTATGGGCAGGCTGAATGTACCCAAGTTGATTGATTGATCAACTGGGGTACAACCAGCCTGCCAGATTTTACATGTGATTACTGCTAGTGGCTGCTATAGCCGCTAGCAATAATCACTTTCTTCTCCTGGCAGTGACAGCTTCCCCCGCCTCCCTGCCAGGAGAAGACAATGGCTCAGTGGGATGGATTCTCCTGTCAACACTGTGTCAAATTTATTTCCTGCAATCAGTAAAGTGTTTTCAACTTCCTTTAACAGATCAAGCTGTCCAACAAAAGTGGTAGTTAGAGGATTGAGACAAACTATTTAACACTGACAGGGGTGCTTACAATGTCCAGCTTTTATTCATTTCTGTAAAACCTTTATCCCAAAAGGAAAAAAGCATGTTGCTTTGTAACTACAATTGACACTTTAAGCAACTAGAAACAATCTATCACTCATATTTTCATATTATATCATATATCATTCCAAAGTGACAGTAATAATTGTAGGGCTGTTTTCACAGTTAAAGTGTTAATTCATGTTCACATACCAATGCTGGCCAATCAAAAGCAGTCCTGGAAGTCCTGCAAAATGAAGATGGAGAAAAGCAGGGACTGCTATACTGGCTGCATGGGCACTGACAGCGCATCACCCACGACAGGTAAGCACAGGGGGAAAGACAGGTGGGGAGGAAATAGGGTGTTAAGTCTCTTTTGATTTACTAAAGGCAAAGAGGCTGTTCACTTTGCAAGGGAATTTTTCCTTAGCTTAGTGATTGAGGTGAGGCTCTGCTACAATGTTTTTTAAAGTTTTCCTTGCACGTATTGTACATTGTGGTGAATTTTCACCACATTTACTAAGATAAGTGAACAGCCTTTTTTTGCCTTTAGTAAGCCAATCCCAATAAGTGGATTTAGGTGGCTAACATATGAATTTACACTTTCTCATATAAATCTACATATAAAATGGTTTTGTTTAAATATGGAAAATGCTGTTTTCACACAGTAAAGTGTTTAGGAATGTCAGGGCATAAGAGTTACAAAATTTTATGACAAAACATATTTTTTTGCATACAATCCATTGAATTGTAAGTGCAGACTACAACATTTGATTTTTTCTTTTTCCTATTTCATTTTTTGCATCAGTCCTTACTAATTTTTCAATTTAATTGACTCTTGCTTTCAAATTATGATTTTATTCCATGTTAGAGATGCCTGGTATAAATTGATTTGCAAAAGATTGCTGTCTATCACATTCTCAGCAGGTGAAAAGTATGGAACACCTTGCTCGGGGCTGATTTGTAAGTTGCTTCCTTCCACCCTGTTGGCTCCCTTAATTGCCCAGGTTCAAGGACAGAAATGAGTGAGATGTGACAGTTCTGGGACAAATACAGATTCCTTTATAACCCATTCCATGCCAGAATGTTGCTAACCATTTAATATATCTGAAACAATATGGATTCCCTTTAAGAACCTATACATATGAGTTAATCCTTGCCCAATCCAGCTCATTTTGGACCACCCAGGCATATATCTTCATGTCTAAGAGGTAGAACAAATGTGGTCGACTGATTATTTCTAGTGAGAAATGGTGAATGACCAAAAATTATATGTCAGTCAATTGCTATTGTTTCCCCAGATATGGAACCCCTCCTCCCACCAGGGTGCATGACTTCACTTAATCGCTGCAAAAGTGTTTGTCACAGTAGACAACACGGCAAAAAAAAAAGATGCAAGTACCAGAAATACCTGTTGATTTCCTCCTAATTTCCTGGTTGCTTTGCAAGGGAATTTCCCCCAGAGCTTAGTAAAATGTGGTGATATTTCACTTTGCAAAGAATATCCAATCATGATCAAGGAACATAAAAAAACAGCATTTTTGCTTGCATATGGATGATGGAAATCAGCAGAGCTTCACCTCATTCACTTGTCTTGGAAGATAATTCTAATGAACTAGTCCAGTGATGGCGAACCTATGGCACGCGTGCCAGAGCTGGCACGCAGAGCCATCTCAGTGGGCACGCCAGGAAGGAAGAGAGGAAGAGGAAGAGAACGCGCTCTCCTGCGCACCTGCGGACACAGCTGATCACGTGACATGGTAAATGGCCAATCACAGCGGCCTTTTACCACGTGATCAGCCGTGTCCAATGACACGCTGATCACCGGGAAATGCAAATGCCGGTTCTCGGCTGCACTTTCCTCACGCTGTCAGATCGTGAGGAAAGTACTGCCGAAAACCGGCAGTTGTCAGAACAGGGATCGGCACCGATCATCAGGGTCACTGATCATCAGTGCCCTGATGATCGGTGCCCACCTGTGCCACACACAAGTTCCGCCCACTTGTGCCCAGCAATGCGCCCACCTGTGCTCAGCAGTGCGCCCACCTGTGCCCAGCAATGCGCCCACCTGTGCCCAGCAATGCACCCACGTGTGCCCAGCAGTGCGCCCACCTGTGCCCAGCAATGCACCCACCTGTGCCCAACAGTGCGCCCACCTGTGCCCAGCAATGCACCCACCAGTGCCCACCTGTGCCGCCCACCTGTGCCCACCAGTGCCACCCACCAGTGCCCATCAGTGCAGCCCAGCAGTGCTGCCAGTCAGTGCCACCAGTCAGTGCCCAGCGGTTGTGCCAGTCAGTGCCCAGCAGTGATGTCAGTCAGTGCCACCTATCAGTGCTGTCTATCAGTACCCATTATCAGTGTCGCCTATCAGTGCCACCTATCTGTGACACCTCATTAGTGCTGCCCATCAGTGCCACCCATCAATGATGCCGGTCAGTGCCGTCTGTCAGTGCCTCCAGTTGGTGCTGTCAGTGCCGCTTATCAGTGCCCATCATTTCCTGCATATCAGTGCATCATCAGAGCCTCCTCATCAATGCTCACCAGTGCCGCCTCATCAGTGCTACCTATCTGTGCCGCCTCATCAATGCCCATCAGTGCTGCCTATCAGTGCAGCCTCACCAACGCACATCAAAGAAGAAATATTACCTGTTTGCAAAATTTTAGAATAGAAGCAAAGGAAACCTTTTATGTTTTTAATTTTTTGCTCTTTTTTCATTTATAGTGCAAAAAATAAAACACCCAGTGGTGATTAAATACCACCAAAAAAAGCTCTATTTGTGTGAAAAAATGATAAAAATTGCATATGGTTACAGTGTTGCATGACCGCACAATTGTCTTTGTTAAGTGCAACAAGCACTGAAAGCTGAAAATTGTCCTGGGCAGGAAGGGGGTAGAAGTGCCCGGTAGGCAAGTGATTAATTCCAGTGTTGGCACTTTGAAATAAAAAAGTTGGTTTTGTGTTGCAGTTTGGGCACTCGGGCTCAAAAAGGTTCGCCATCACTGAACTAGTCTGTCTGCCTTTAGTAAATTAACCTATTGCCTGTAAAATCCCAATAAACTTTGTTAGCTGGACTACAGAACTCTGCTTATCCCCACCCCTTTCTGTCCCTCTCCACATGTATACATTGAGTTCTTTCAAAGCAAAACAATGCTTGACTAACAAGAGCCTGCCTACACATTGGAGGGCATTTATTAACCACTTTAGCTCCGTAAGAATTTATCCTCTTCATGACCAGGCCATTTTTTGCTATTTGGCACTGCACTGCTTTAACTGGCAATTGCGCGGTCATGCAGCACTGTACCTACATGGAATTTATATTGTTTTATTTACACAAACAGCTTTCTTTTGGTGGTATTTGATTACCACTGGGTTTGTTATTTTTTATTATATAAATGAATAAATACCAAAACTTAAAAACAAAAAAAAAACAATATTTTCTACTTTTTGCTCCAAAAAAAAAGACCAAAATGTATTCTGCTGCATCTTTGGTAAAATAAATCCCAATAAGTGTATATTGATTAGTTTGTGTGAAAGTTATACCATCTGCAAACTATGGTACATATACTTGAAGCTTTATTTATTTATGTATTCATACTAGTAATGGCGGTGACCAGTGACTTATAGTAGGACTGTGGTAGTACGGCGGGCATTCTGACACTAACTGATGCTTGGTGGGAACTGACTGACACTGACATCCCCAGTGATACTAATACAGTAATCAGTACTAATACTTTACACTGTCACTGTACTAATGCCACTGTCTGGGAAGGGGTTAACACCTAGGGGCAGTTAAAGGGTTAACTGTGTGACTAATAAGTGTAATGTGTAGAAAGTGTGCTGATTTTAATATGTGGCTGTTTTATCTCCCTGCTTTGCAGGGTGAAAAAAAAAACCTCATATTGCTGCTGTCTGTAGAGAGCCCAGAGCTGTTTACCAACACAGGGCTCTCTTCTGTCATTCTCTCAGCCAATCAGTGGGTTCCGGCCATAAATCCCACTGGTTGGCCTATGCTGTAGTGAATGACAGCACAGCTGGCGTGGCGTCTGCACAGAAGAGTACATGATCCAGTGCAGCGGGGCCACTCTGCCGCAGTATTTCTGTGGTAGGCAGTCGCCAAGTAGTTAAAGCAGTTGTGTATTAGTTAATGAGCTACCCACATGCAAAAAATGTTAGCATTAAACTTTAAATCTGTTTTGCAAGATTCAATTCTACGTGTGGCCAAACGGACTATTCTCTGCTCTGCTGCCACTGTAAGCACCTATTTTGCGAATTAATTTAATCTCACATCTAACTCAGAACTAGGAAGTGCTATGGTAGGTGTAGGTATAGGTGCAGATATTGTACTTTTAGTATGTACCCTGTGTACAAATAATAAATCTTAGTTGCTATATAAAATATAAAATGTAACAGGTTATTACCACAATCATTAAGACAGTAGGAATAAATGTACCTTTCTGAATGTAGGGAAAATGTTCTTGGGAGATGTAAATCTAGGGCATGTCTACGTCAAGCTTAATGATATCATTACAGTAATTAAAGCTGGTTGGGATAAATATGGGTCATGCCTATATAAATCCTTTAACATACATGATAGAACAATGCAAGAGTTCGTGCACAATTGTTCACTAGAGCCATCATGTGATGTTGACATGCCAACACATCTATTACTGTCTCCCACAAATTACATGAAACAGTTGTGAGTAGTGGTGCACCGAAATGAAAATTCTGGTGCCGAAACCGAAACTTCAAAGTGCACTTGGCCGAAAACCAAAATGCGCCGTTTTTAAAAATGAATATATATTTAAGGGAAAAATATACACTTTGATTGAAAAAAAAACAAAAAAAAAAACAATATATACCCCAATCGTTTTGTAAAATATGAAAGAGGATGTTACGGCGAGTAAATAGATACCCAACATGTTATGCTTTAAAATTGCACATGCTCGTGGAATGGCGTGAAACTGTGGTACTTAAAAATCTCCATGGGTGATGATTTAAAAATTTCTACAGGTTAGCAGTGTAAAGTTACAGAGGAGGTCTAGTGAGAGAATTATTGCTCTTGCTCTGACGTTCATGGCGATACCTCACTTGTGCTGTTTGAACACCATTTACATATGTAGGCATGGCCTACGTATGTGTTCACCACTACGTGCGAGCACGGAGGACGGGGGCATTTTAATCTTTTTTTTTAATTTAATGGGGTTTTTTTTTGCACTGTCCCTTTAAAAAAATGTTAATCACTTTTATTCTTGCATGTATCCCTTGTGATAGAAATAATTAGTGACAGATCCTCTTTATGGAGAGATATGGGGTCAATAAGACCCCACATCTCTCCTCTGCAATGTAAAGCATTGGATCAAAAAAAAGCATTGATCTAGTGCTTTAAAAAAAAATGGCAGGAACTGGAAGTGACATCACTCCGATTCTCCAAGGGCATAGAGATGAGTGGAGGCCATCTTTCCTTCACTCATCTCTATGCCCAGTGCCAGGATCGTTCGATTGTTACTCAGGTAAGGCTAAGAACTACCGAGCGGCGGCCGGTGGCAGCAACGGCGGGGTTTTTCGACACCTGTATCGGTGCTTTTTATCATTTCGGCCGATGGCCGAAAGGGGTGTTTTCGGCCAAAACATTTCGGCCACCGAAATTTCGGTGCATTCCTAGTTGTGAGTATAATGTCTACCTACAGCCTTCCAGATTTTAGATATATGAAAATGTTAAAGATAATACCAGCATCAATAATGACATTAAAGGTTGTTATTCTACCTCATGGTGTTTGAGCATAAAAAGGCAAGAAAAAATATTGTAACTGAACTCATTAAATAATTCATAAAACACTATTAAAAATTATTTTAACAGTATCAGAAGTAAAAGTCCACAAATAATATTACTTCAGTTTCAAAGTAATAGGTATAGTTAAAGTTATAGTTAGTAATAGTAATAGTTATTACTATTAAATTAACTTGCTGAAATTACTTTCCTACTTCATTTTTAAGTGTGTAGAATATAATATGATGTGTACATGTTACTTGTACTTACTGTATGTGTTTAGCAAATATTAATCTGAAACACAATGTTGTGGTGTTCTTTACATGTAAAGTTGTGAACTCCAGAAAATTAGAACACATCATAGATACAGTCAACATACAATGTATTTAGTTGTTTTATTTTTTCTGATAATGGTGTGGCTATACAATGGGGGAGGTTTGCTGAAACTGGCGCACACAGAATCTGGTGCAGCTGTGCATAGTAACCAATCAGCTTCCAAGTTTTATTGACAAAGCCTAATTGAACAAGCTTAAGTTAGAAGCTGATTGGTTACTATGCACAGCTGAACCAGATTTTGTGTGGACCAGTTTTAGTAAATCTCCCCCAATGCCTCTTTGGTGGGGTAGGTGTGACTGACCAAACATGAAGTTGCAATCAACTGCCTTGTACAAAAAAGATGCAAACCTGCAACTGCACTGTTATTAACATGCTACGCCTATGGAGAATGGGACTTTCCTGTGTTGTACATGAAAGGGCCTCAAGAATTGTCACTTTTCTATGAACTCAGGCATAATGATTAGTTGAATAGCGCTGCACTATTTTTTGTATTTTTTATGTTCTTTCCTTGTGGTTGAGGCGAAATAGTGTGTGCTGCTTATTAATAGGTGTTCCATTGAGCGCAGGAGTTTTTTTCATTATCTAGTAGTTGAATATAATGAATATACTAGGGTGACCAAACATTCCCAGTTTTCCTGGGACAGTCCCTGATTTGGGGTGACAGTCCCACATGGAAAGGATTCCTGATTTTACCGCGATTCAAAGGTGATATCCTTGATTTCTTGCTACTTTTATGCCACAAAAAAATGGCATTCCCAGAATATTGATTGTGGGTTAATCACCATCTGATACAACCCCACCTGCCCACCAGCCTGCTACTTCCTAGCCTGAAGCTACAGGCTGTAGATGTTTGCAATAAACAAGCAATGTTAGATGAGGACTGTAGGCTGTATGTTGGCAAGAAGAGGCTTGCAGCGGTGAGGAGGTCTGGAAGAGCAGTTCAGAAATAAGCAGTGTTGGAAGAGAGTTTTGGGGTGCAGAAATGAGCTGTGTTTGAACAAGGTGTCAGGGATGCAGACATGAGCAGTGATAGAACAAGGGTCAGGTATGCAGATATAAGCAGTGATAGAACAAGTGGTCAGGTATGCAGAGGTAAGCAGCATTTGAACAAGGGGGGTACAGAAGTGAGCACTGTCGGTACAAGAAGTCAGGGATGCAGATGTGATCAGTGTTGGAGCAACATATCAGGGATGCGGTAGTGATCAGTGCTGGGACAAAGTGTAAGGGGTACAGAAGTAAGCAGTGTTGGAACATGG